ATAATAGATACTCTGCCATCACAAATAAAATTATGTTACCTTGCTTCTCTTCACCTTTATGATGTTTGGGATGCACCTGTCAACACCTTCTGGTAATCCTAAGGAGTGGTTTGCTCTGTGTAGTGTCAGAAATGCATTATGCCTCTACTTTGTTCGCTTCCATTATTAAACATTCTTCAATAGTTGCTCAAGAATCATGTTCCTCCTGTATTAATGTAGCGCGCATCTTCTTGGAAGAGTGTTCTGCTGGGCACAAAAAGACATCTCTTGTGGCTGCTGATGGGATCAAATCTTCTGCTTCAAAGTATCAGCATATTAATCTTTTAGTGACATCTGGATCATTGATCCCCAGTCTTGTAAAATGCTTGCTCTTTCGACTCGACAACATGATAACAGATGAAAATGGTTAGTAATCCTTATCACTTTAATGTTGGCGAAGCTTGTTATTTTTCTTTCTAGATTATTTTGTCTTTAACAACGCTGTAGTTAGTGTTAAGAATCAGAATTAATGTCCCCTAATGCAGTTTAAAATTTTTGGAAAACTTGATTTGAAGTAGTGCATATGCAAGAAGTGGAGTCCTGATGCGTCACATAGTTTTATTTTATTCTATTTGTTTCATGGATTCTGGTGATCGACATATAGACCTTGTTTTATGCATTAGTGGGGCTTTTAACAACTTATTCATAAGTTGTTAGGATGTGTGCTGACAAATCTTTATAATTTCTTCAGTCTATAGTTCCTGGGAAGTGGGAAAACTACAATGTTTTCAGCAGATTAAGGTGCGTTTTGACCACCCAAATGTCCGCTTCTGCGTAATTGGGGATGGATGGGAGGAGTGTGAAGCTGCGCAAGCAATGCGATGGCCATTGGTTAAGATTGATATGCGACCAGGAGGCTCCCACAGGTTTCCAGGCCTCACATCCAGGACCCTCGGATTTTATTTTTCTGTTGTATATGGGAGCTCTGATGCTGAAGATGAAGAAGAGTGAAACTCACTGGATTTTGGGACATCTGCCTGTACATAAAATCCAACAAACGTTAGGAATTATGTCTTGAAACAATTTGTATCAATCAACTCAGTTAGATGAAGATGACCACCTGATTAGCCAAAATTGATTGTATTTATTCTTGTAGATTAATTGGTTGGCTTCATGCTAGGAATTGTAAACTTCTGTCTCGACGTGGATATTAATCTACAGAGTTTTGGATTTGTTACCCTCAAAAGTGATGCGAGATATCAACTGAACTGACAAGAAATAATCTTGTTTGTTAGGGAGGATTAGAGTTAGACTAGACTAGACAAGTAAAATGGCTATATTTCATGTGCAAGGGATAATATGGATATTGCCCTCTAACTTGGAGGATGGAGGACTATTCATAATAGGTTGATGACTAAAATTTATCCCTCCTAATCCCATCATTTTCAAGGGGATTATGGGGATAAGTTTTAGTTATCAATCTCTTATAGATAGTCCTTATTTTTCCTCCAAATTAAACAACTTACATAATTAATTGAATTCAAATAAAATATAGGTATTTTGCTAATCTAGTCCAGTCTAGTCCAGTCCTCCCTATGAAACAAACCGCAGAGGAAAGAACGCTTCTGGAGTTCCTAAGGTTCCTGGTGGGTTATCAGAAGATGCCGGAGATTTCTTGAAGAATTGCTTTGCGAGGAACCCTTCACAGAGGCTTACAGCAGCTAAGCTATTGGACCACCCTTTTGTGACTAAAGTTGATGAGATTGCACAGGTTAAAGCTGAACCAATAAAGGAAGTTTCTTCAGTGTCATCTTCTTCGAATTGTGGTCTTGATTATGGTAGTTTCATATCACTTGGAAGTTGGAGCTCTGAAAATGCAGAGGAGATGGAGCAACAGATTCTTCCTTTGGCCATCATGTACCCTAGAGATTCAAGGCCTGTGATCCCAAACACTGGGTGACAAAAGCCATCAGCCTTTTTTTTTTTTTGAGTTTTAGGCCAAAGAACAGTCCCCAGATCTCAGCTTCTAGTATCTGACCTTTCCCAAGGTTGATTGCAAACCCCCCAGTCCAGTTGCCAAGTTCATCTCTTATCACTCCTCCAGCACCAATGGAGCCAGAAGCACATTTATACGAGCCGTCAACATTAAGCTTGAGGTAGCCAGGGGGAGGGGGTTCCCAAGCAAGAGTAACTTGGTAGTTGCTAGTAGTTTTTGTATTGGCTGAGCTAGCTGTAGACCATTCTTGGGTTGCTTTAAGAATCACTGCCCTGGAGTCAAAGGGCAGGTCCTCCTCTTTGCCAAACACTCTTATATTTCGCCATTTCCAAATGTACCAACAAGTATAGGCAAAGGCAACATTCCACGGGGTCTCATCCTGCCACTTTGAATTAGTTGTTAAACTAATTCTCAACCATGGCTGAAAGTCCATCTGAAAGAAATGGAGAGCTTGGTTTCGATTGAGGATTAAATTCCACACACTTTTGGCCTTGGTACAGTCACGCAACATATGTAAAGTAGATTCATTATGCCATCCACAAATACTACAGGAAGGGTCAGTCGTTAATCTTCTTCTTGCACGTTGCTCATTGGATAGTATTTTATCTCTAGACATAAGCCAAACAAAGAACTGCATTTTTGGAGGATTTTTGAGCCCCCATATGAACTTCCATCTGTCATCAGGCCACTCAGATGGATGGAACAACAAATTATAGGCTGACTTCACAGAGAAAATCCCATTAGCAGTAGGCTTCCATATTTGTATATCTGGAGTATTGCCTATGAAATCAACAGGAGTATTAATGATCTTTTGTACAATTTCCTCCCCAGCGAAGTTTAACAATGTCCCACCAACCCTCCTTGGAGAAACTAGAAACAGGGCAGTGTAGCTCAGTTACTTGAGAATCTCCAGTGTAATGAATTAAGGCCTCATCAGTAATCCATTTATCTTTCCAAAACTTCACTTGGTCCCCCTTACCAATTCTCCAACTCATACCTTTTGCCAGTAGATCAGCACCATATAGAATACCTTTCCAACTGGAGGAAGACTCAGGTTTAGGCACCATAGTAGGATCCATAATTGATCTTCCCTTTAGGTATTTAGCCTCATAAATTTTAGCCCACAAGCCTTCATCTTTATTTTGAATCCTCCACCCAATTTTAGCTAATAAACTCTGATTCATATGGGTGGTCTTCTTAAATCCCATCCCTCCTTTGCTTTTGGGAATGCATGCTAAGTCCCATTGGCAAAGATGGATTTTACGTTTCTTCTCACTAGCTCCCCAAAAGAAATTGCGGTTAAGCTTGTCAAGGTCCTCACACACACTTGCAGGAAGTTTCACCGTTTGCATGGAGTAGACTGGGATAGAGGCAGTGACAGCTTTAATCAAGGTTGCTCTTCCAGCAAGGGATAGGAGTTTTCCTTTCCAAGAAGCAAGTCTTGCATGAACTCGTGCAATAAGACCATCAAAGGTAGCCTTAATTGGCCTAGAATGTAGTAAGGGCATGCCCAGATACTTGCCAAGATTATTAGTCAAAGGAGACCCACATATGGCACTGATTTCATTAGCTATGCCCTGGGGAGTGTTTGGAGAGCAGAAAATGACAGATTTATCAAAATTAACAGATTCACCTGAGATTTGGCAGAAAGTCTCCAAGCACTTTTTCATTACCTTAGCTTGTTTAGAATTGGCTTCAGCAAAGAAGATAAGATCATCAGCAAAGAAAAGGTGTGACACAGTTGGCCCAGATTGAGAGGATTTAACCGGTTTCCATGAGCCTCTGTGGACAGCATCAAAAATTATGTGGGATAATTTTTCAATGCACAATACAAATAAGTAAGGAGAGAGCGGGTCCCCTTGTCTTATGCCATTCTTTGGAACAAAATTATCAGTTAACTCCCCATTGATGCATATTTGGTAGTTGACAGAAGTAACACAGCTCATAATAAGTTGGGTGAGCGTATCAGGCAGCCCCAGTTCAATAAGCACACGCTGAATAAAATCCCAACTCAGCCTATCGTAAGCCTTTGAGAGATCAATTTTCCAAGCGATGAAACCTTTCTTTCCTTTAGAAACTTTGAATTTGTGCATAAGTTCTTGAGCAATGAGGATGTTGTCAGTTATGTGTCGCCCAGGAACAAAGCTGACTTGGTTAGGGCTGATCAAGTTGGGCAGGATAGGCCTCAGTCTTGCAACAATAATTTTGGATATAACTTTGTACAAAGTAGAGCAAAGGCTAATTGGTCTAAATTGTACCATGCTTTGAGGATTGTCCACTTTAGGCACAAGTGTAATCAAGGTCTTGTTGAGGTTATCTGGCACTCGGCAGCTGTGGAAGGTATTCACCACTAAGTTAAAGATATCAGTGTCACAAGTCTTCCACTGGTTTTGGTAGAAACAAGCAGGAAATCCATCAATTCCAGGGGCTTTCAAGCTGCCAATATTGAAAAGACTCACCTTAACTTCCTCCAAATCAATAGCTTTAACAAGAGAGTTCATTCCTTCAATAGGTATGCCAGGGAAAAGCGTAGGTATGGAGCTGTTGGTAGTATGAATGGGAGAAAGCCATCAGCCTTTGCTATAATGGGTGCAGCTTAGTTTAATTTTTTTGAAAGCCTTCTCCTGAATTTGATGTAATATTTCATTATTCAGTGTTTGTGATTGTAAGGCTTGACATTATGTATATTCTTCTCTCAACGACTGTAATGGTTTCATTGTTAATAGAGAGCTAACAGTTCCACTTTGATCTCTTTCTGTTGGTTCTCCCATTGTGTTGTTGGTGTTATGTTTTACTGGTGTAGATAATCTCACTAACCACTGCATTTGATCCATAGATAAGATTAGTAGTTTACAAGTTGGATTAAATCAGTAAGTAAAACTTCTAATCAATAATGTCAACTCTCAAAGGATATTTGTAAGGATATTTGTAATAGATTCTCAGTGATGGCTTTGTACCATCATTTTGTTGATGACTATTTTCTGCAGTAAGCCCTAGAAGTTGTAGCAAAAACTAATGACCAACATTTATTCAGGAATGGTGTCAATTATTCGACAATTTGCATCGTAAAATTGTATCTCCTGGTTAACAATATGTACACAAAAATATACAAAGATTCATTGTACATGGAGGTTACAGAAAACATAAGCTACAACAGAGTATCTTGCACTGCAGCATCTTCCTCGGCTAGATGATTCGTTCTCCTCAGAAATCAAGACAAACATGCACTGACTGTTCTCGGCTAAGATATAAAGGCAAAACAAGCATAATCCTGTTTCAGGAGCAGACAGATTCAAGGAAAAAGAAAATTTTACATGAATGTATTCAAATTGTGAAAGACTTTGTATCAATAAAAAATTGAAAAAACAAAAGCAAGTTGCAAATCAGACAGTGGCTACTGAATCTGACAAAACACCATGTAAGTTGTCACCCTGCTTTTTATCTTAAATGGCCAAACTACGAAAACTATTCAGCTATGAAGAGGTAACAGATTTAAGCAAAAAACATACCAGCATAGGCAACTGTAAGACCTGACACCAACTGTCCCAAAGCTGGAAGCTTGTAAAGACAAAACACCACTTGGAGAAGATTTAAATACGAAGTTATCTGGTGAGCTGTCTGCAAGAATGACTTATTATCATTGACAAATTTGCATAACTTTATTCTACATGATAACATG